AAGTTCCATTCCAACCCCTAAAATTTTATGATTCTATAATTCTAGGATATGGTGTAGACAGTAGAAGGAGCAGCACAACAAATAAGGCACACAGCAGTGTTCCTCATTTCCTACTCAGAACAAGTTCTCAGCTGCCAAACTATCAGCTGCGAAGTATTTCAGAGATTGTCACATACCATGTGTGTGGCTGCATGAAGTGTGAGTAGTAAACAACAGTTTACTGATGAAGACTCAAAAGCAGAGCGTTTCTATGTAAATAGGATTTAAAGCACACACAAGTATTGCTTTGGGCACAGGATTTTCTATTAAATTGTTTTGATAAGCTGATTAAAAGAGGTACTTGAGGTTTTCATATTTGTCAACCCCCTTGATCTCTGGCATGGTGTATCTGATCAAATAGTTCCTATACACTGTGTCCTGAGGGCTGGTGTTCTTTTGTTTCAGATCCTAAGTTAAAACGTTAAATGATTGCGATTATTTTCATAATTATGGCTGCATAATATGATTCCACTTTCCAGTATCAAGGGCTTTGATTAATTTTTTCCCACTCAAATATGTGTTGTACAGGGGGAACTTGTGATTCTGGAGAATCCCATGAAAATGATGTTGTACTTTATGCCAAGATTGAAGGCAGGAGGGAACACATACCTCTTGATACCCTGACCTATGCTGCTTACAAGGTAAATCATCATAAACAAAGCAGGTGGATGGGATGGATAAATCATTCTCTTTTCAAGCCACCACAACAGTATTGAATGCTGAATTCCACAGGGATGCTCAAACATGACCTTTCCAAGCACGTAAATCATGGGCAGATCAGGGAGCAAACGTGTGCCTTTGCAGCACAGTTCTGCAGTTATTGCTGATTACTCCAGCCTCAAGCAGCACTGCAGTGTTGGCTAGGGTTGGGGTAACAGACAGATGAGCAATGGACAAATATTGTCAGTTATCAGCTGAAAACTTCAGTGATAGCTTCTCCTCACAAATAATTACTCCTGTCTCCTCTCAAGCTCCTGCTAGCCAGAGTTGAATACTCAGGAGCTACGTCCTGAGTTGGTCAGTCATGGTGGGGGCAGTGGCTGGGAGAGGGTCCACAGTGATGTGTGTGTGGGCTCAGCCATGGGACGTGGATGGTGGCAGTGTCTCCTCTGCTGATAGCACAGTCACCTTCCAATCACATCCACCTCTCTCAGGCAGGACAATAAAGACCTTGAGCATGCTGTCAGGATCCTTCCTGTCTAGGGCAAGAAAACACTTACTGCATGTCTACCCTGAGTAACCCAGCCCTGAGGTCTCCTGCTCCTGCTGCTGGAAAACAAACAGCAAAATTTGGAATCTAATGCATGTACACATGGTTGTGATAGAGATTGAAATGCAATATGTTTACATAGCATGAGGGAAATTTGGTGGTAAAGATGCAGCTGATTTAAAGCACAGGTCTGTGCATTTTCCCCTGTAATTCTAGCATTCAGGGAACAAATGTTTACAGTAGGGTTTGGCCTGAGTTTCGTTGAGTCACTTGCATTGTTTCATTGTGCGTGGCTTCCCTCCTTGCCTGCTTCTGTGTGAAAGACAGGGTAGAACTTTTGTAAAACTAAGGAAACTGTAATTGTGAAATAATAAAAAATTAATTGGGGAACTCGGGGAGAGATAGGATCTGAAATTACACCGAATTCATTGTGGAGTTTTTTTTAAAACAAGCAGTCTTAAAGCTGACATCCTCTTTTGACATAATAAAGTTCTAATTGCATTGCTCTAGGACAAAGGCTAAGCTTCATAAAGCAGTGCTTTCATTTATTTCAGCAGCATAACATCCTCCCCACATATGCCTGTGAGCTCATGCTGTTAGTCCATTCTCACGTATTCAGACCAGGCATGTCACTACCCTGTGTTTGCTCCTGTGAGCTGTAAGGCTCCAGGACACACATCATCTTCCATTACCAAGTCAAACTGACAACGTAAACTAGCGTTTTTCAGAACACAGAAGGTACAGTCTTTTCTACTGAGTCTTTACAGCCAAACAATCTGATGATAAATAGCACTGGTATCCAGAGTGTACCAAGCAATCTGCTGATAAATAGCACTGGTATCCAGAGTGTTAATGCCAATGCATGTAATAGCAAATTATTTTCTTTGGGATCTTCTGTGGAAAAAAGGTGGATAAGAAAGTCGATAAACGTGTTTGGTTCAACACAACTGAACTTGATTTTAAATGGTTCCTTGTGACCTTTTCTTCAATTTATTTAAGCCTTATTTAATTTCTCTTCAAGGTTCCATCTTTGGTTTCTGTTGTCATTAGTCCAGACCTGCAGACTCCTGCAACCAAGTTTTGCCTGAAGCAAAAGAGTCACCAAGGTCACAACAAGAATGTCTGGGCTGTGGATTACTTCCACGTCCTTCCGGTGCTTCCTTCCACAGTGACTCACATGATCCAGTTTTCCATCAATTTGGGGTGTGGAACTTATCAACCTGGTAACAGGTACAACCAGCAAGATCATTCTTTTGATTATCAGCTTTCTAATATGTTTTAGTTTATAAAATCTATATGAGGATTTGGAAGTTTTTCTCAGTAAGAAGGGATCCAATTAGTAATGACAAATATAAGCTGCTCAAAAGCTAATGTTTCTCCTGATCTCCACAGGCCAAGATTTATGTATCTCACATGCAATAAGGAGTCTATTAAATAGCTTTCTAGGTCAAAACTTGCTCTTCTTAGTCCATTATTCTGAAATATGCTCATGATTTCAGAGTGACTTTTGCTTCAGTTTCTAATGGATATGAGATTTATTTCTTAATACTCTGTAAGGGGGAGAGTATTAAATGCAGCAGCAGAAACCTGCCCTGCTGACCTCTCTGAGATAACTGATGCCACAAGCATATCCAGTTCTGGTAAGACTGGTGATAAATGTCCCTAATCTTAATGGCCATCAGTGTGAGGATCTCACTGTCTGTAGACTGACCCCAGAATTCTTTTGCTGGCTTCACTTCTTCAGGACATTCAGGGTGAATTTGTCCATGGAGTTAAGTGAGAGGGAAAGAAGGGAGTCGTTTGCTGGTGGGAGGTGTTCCTGCCCAGGGCAGGGGGTTGGGACTAGATATTCTGTAAGGTCCATTCCAACCTCTAAAATTCCATGATTCTATGATCTCTATGATGAATATTGGTCTACCTCTCTGAGTGACCTGCTGAAGTGAAAAAGTAGTTCCTAATGCCCAGTACAAAACCCTGGAGCCATGTCTTTATGACCATTGTCCTTTCTACTATGTCTGACAGTACTGAGGAGAGTTTGACTCAGACTTCCTTGTGAGTGCCCTTTGCACCATTACAGGATGCTGTAGCTCACCCACCTCACCAGGCTGAGCAAACCAGCTCCTCAGCCCATCCTAGCTTGGTGCTCAAGGCCATGGACATCTTGCTCATCCTCTACTGCACCTCTCCAGTTTCTTAATATCCTTCTTCAAATTGGGGTCCCAAACCCAAACTGTCCACTGCCCCTCATTCCTTATGTACACATGAGATTATTTATCTTGATATTTTATGAGGATTAAGTTAGTTTATATTTTCCAGAGTTAAGAGTTTAAAGTAGAGACTGTAAGTGCTTTCACATCCATGTCCCATGGCATCTACTTCCAACTGGAAAGAGCTGCATTAGCACTGACAGTTCTAGCATCCATGCAGGGCAGCAGAATTCAAGGAGCAGCAAAAATCAAGGCATTGCACTTATATTTGATAGGAAGGGAAAGCAGCAACATTTTCATACATGAAAAGTGAAAACTTGGCCTGTAAACACACCTGGCTAGTAAACATGTTATATAAAGTCTCTGTCTCCGTCTGTTATCTGATGGAGATTAGAATATATTTTGAAAGATTAATATTCTTCCTTTGTTAAACTATTTCTGAAGCAGAAGTGAGCTTTTCCCTAACAAAAAAGCACTGGGTCCCCATCTTCCCTGTTTGTATTTCCCAAACACAACAGCACTTCACATCTCCTCATCTACAGCATTATTCATAATGCTCTCATTACTGCAAATGTGAGGAAACTCATACTGAATATATGCAGTAAATATGGCCCTCAAAGGTATCAAACCTGAAATAAATTAGTCAAAAGCTCCATCAACTGCTTTAATACACACTTACAATCTCACAGTCATGGTACACTTTTATAAAGTAATATTGTCAGCAAATTATAATGCAAAGGAAAAGTTAGAACCCAATCATTTAATATAGAGGAGATGAATTATGACTTTTATAATGTGCCACTGACATTATTTAAAACAGAATATTACAAACTAATTATATGGAGGAAATTGCAAGAGTAATTCAGGAAAATACTAAGTCTGTAATAAATCAAGCACCTTCTATATTACTTTTTCAGGGTCTTCAGGATGTAAGGCATCTAAGGATTTCCTTATACTCCTAGGTTGTAAACAATGTTGGGGGTATTTTTCAAGCCAGGAAAGAGCCAGACACTGCATGAATAGCTAGTGGTCTTTTGCCACCTTCTGCAGATGTAACAGCAGCTGGCAGTTATTGAGTGTCCTGTGCTTGCATGATGCTGTCTAGCTCTGATTAATCCAAGTTTTCTCCTCGTAATTGAAACAATTTTGATCTGAAATCCAAAAGTAACAGCAGCATAAAAACAGTGGCTAGATGGTGGCCAAACAAGGACTGTGTGTTCAGACTGTCCTCAGTCTGAGGCTACCCTTTGGGTTTTCAAACACTCAGGTTTGTTTCATGTTTGTATTTTCAGGAGCTTTTGTATTCATAGTCTGCTTAAAATTGTTTCAGCAGTTATTAGGAACAGCAGATTTGGTGGTTTCTCAGTATTGGTACTTCTACATTGCTATCTATGGCAGGTAGTCTCATGATGTCTTTCTCCTTTCTTTCCTTCTATGTGTTACCAGTGTCAGCTTGGAGTTTTCAACCAACCATGGTCGCTCTTGGTCCCTGCTCCACACTGAGTGTTTGCCTGAGATATGTGCTGGACCTCACCTCCCCCACAGCACCATTTATGCCTCTGAAAACTACAGCGGGTGAGAGTGTTCTCTGCAAAACTAGCTGAGATGCAAGAGTAGAGATGTGAATTATTAGTGACAGAAGAAAGCAGCAAAGCACACAGCTCCGTGTCATCTTTCATTTTTGACTAGCTGAGGACAGCAAGGAAGGAGTGTTCTGGGCTCCCTGACTGCCCAGTAATGAAATTTGAAATATATGGGGCTGTTTCTGTGGTATAATATTATTTTTTTGATGCTAAATTACAAAAAAGAAACCAAACCACCTGTGGACAACATGTAGCTAATGAGAAGAAAGGTTTTACCTTGTCAAAGCCACAAAAGTTTTCTTCTTAGTCAGAGGAAACATCAATTAAAGCTGTATTTACATCCTCAGACAGCTTTACTCACTTGGAATCCCAATACTGGCTCACAGTGAAGCACATCCTCTGTACTTCTACAGATGGAGATGGTTGTTAGTGTCACTATCTTATATCAACCCTTCTCAGTATTAAGTCCCTTCTGTACTGTTCTCCCTGAAAAATGAACTGTGGTGTCTTGCTGCATAGACAAATCCCTGCATAGCCTTTTACATCCCAACTTCTACAGCCCCTTCAGAGCAGTGGGTATGACTCTGAGTAGTGTAGTTGAGGCATTGCTATGATCTGATGACACTCCCCCTCCCTCCATTCCCATACAATTTCCATAGGAACCATGACCCATTGTGTCTGCAGGAAGTGTATTCCCCATGGATGATAGGACAATAATGGCCCAGACCACAGCAGGGCAAATCCTCTGCACTGCTCTTCTCAACCCCTGAGGATTTCCACCTAACACAGTTCAGTTGTACTAACAGGTTGCAATTTAGGACATATTAATTGTGATAAAGAAGTCACTGCAGCAAAGGAGATTAAAGTATTTTCTGACTTCATGCATTCTTATGGGGGAAAAAAGGGCAGTATTTTATAAGGATATAATTAGCATTCATATATAGTATGAAAATATCATGAGCAGTGTTCTTTTTTCTGTGTGTTTTCTAAAGCTGTTGTAAATTCATGCTTCATTTGAGCAGATTTTAAAATGCAAACTTCCCACAAAGGTTCCAGTGTACATATCTGCAAAACATACAGTTGCATAATAACTCTCAGTGCAAAATGCTGGAGTCTGTGTTCTATGTATTTCAGGTGGAACAGAATTACTATTCCCCTTCCCAATGCTGCATTAACAAGTGACACCAGGATTCGATGGAGACAAACAGGACCAATCCTTGGAAATATGTGGGCAATCGATAATAGTTAGTATCCTTATCCATGATCATGACACATCAGAAGAGTAAATTCTTATATGCTGTTCTAAGTAAATGTATTTTCCACAATGAGGAGTCCATGGATTAACAGTTTATTAAATTCCTTTTCTGCTTATCTCCTTACCTGTTGCCAAGTGCATTTTGAAGCTAGAGGGAATTTCTGCCATGAAACGACAATTGCTTAGTAGATTATCTTTCTTTTTTTTTTTTTTTGCTTTTAATTGAATGTTTTCAGGATAAGATATTGGTGGCAAGGGCTTAATATAACATTTTTTCTGTCTGCTTAGTCCTAATTACATAAATAGGTACTACACTGGCTATAAAGCACATGTACTGCACAGTCTAAGCATCAGGTACAGCATCTGGGACATATATTTCCATCTGGACATAGAAGACCTTCATAAAGCAATGCTGCTACCAAAACACTGACAACACTTTTACATTGTTTATAGTATCTTTGGGGGAAAGTACCATCTGTTTCAGGGAATTGTTCTTCTAGGACATTATTTTTCACATACCTGTTCTTTAACTGGATTTGAAGAACTGGGAGGAGCTTATACTGGGCCATAATTTATAAAACTTTGTGCAATGGATAACCAGGACCAGAATTGGAAATATCTTAAAGCACAGAAAAAGTATTTAGGAACACAGGATAAAATATATGAAATGCAGGAGTAAGCATGATTGAAGGGGCTAAATATGAGGAAGTGCAAATTTTTTAGCTTGCTCATTAGCCTTACATGATTTGAGACTAGGTAAACTACATCCAGAATTTGTTTGGTTAGATGTGTGAAATATGCAATTCAGAGATTTACAGTGATGTACAATAGCCTATGAAATTTTATAGTGATTCCCAGTAAGGTTTGATATGGAGGTTTGATAAGGTTTGATATAAGGTTTGAATGGTAAATAGTTACATTTTGCAGAGTTCTTAAAACAGATGAATGCCTAATTTTGAGAAGAAAAACCTTGAAGCTGATAAGGTAATGCCAGAAAGGAAAGTTTGTCACTAAAGGTTACAAAAATTATTCTCTTAATCATATTAAGTTGCATAATCTTGACATTCTGGATAGAGTATTAATGCTTGTCTTTAGAGATGTAATATGCATCAAAAAGAAAGTAAAGCTAGGGGAAACATCTATATAAACATAAGATGTCTGTGAGTGTCTGCAAAGATGAGTTGCTACCTAGCAAAGTGCAGACTTTAAGTGCTGGAGACACTCTGGAGATGTACACAGAAACAAGAGGAAGATGAAATCAATCCAGGGATACAAATCCTTAAGAACTTGATGGAACAAGATTTTGAAAAGCAATTGGCAATTCATGAATCTGCACTACCTTTGCTTGTAGATCAAAATGCAATACCATCAAAGGATGCTGCATGCTCCAGTGTGTACCACCCCCCAAAATGTTTTACCAACCATCTGCCCAAAAAGTGCCTGCTCTGAATTCGAGGTGCAGAACCAAGATACAGGAATCAAGTCTTAAAGATGAACATGTTTCAGAGGTTTTGCATCTCTCCTTTGTTAGATAGTAGTGACACTGAAGCTTTACACTGTATTGAAGGGAAAAACTTGTCAATATTGGCAGTATTCTTGAAGAGAGGAAGGTTTTCAAGGATTCAGCACTCTGACTTTTAGCTTCACAACTGTTTCTTATGTGAATTAAGTTTTAAAGGAAATCTGGAAGCTGGCCATCTTCTAGAAACCCTGGAGAAATGCCAATTTCCATGGAGTTTTTACTTTTGGAATGACATCATTGAATCTTTAACCCTTCTACTTTTACCACCCCCTCAAAAAGACCTTAAAAGACTCCATTAAATCAAACAGAACAGAACAAAATTTTTACACCCTGAAAAGTGAGAAAATTTAGAGTTCAGATGAAATCTGATGAGGAGTTAGTTACAGGGAATAGCTAGCAGGGATTTAGAGGGTGTCTGCCAGGGAGAGCTGACTGCTGTGATGGGCAGCATAAAACTAGGAAAGGGAACAAGTATTGCTTTTTACTTCAGACTGGTGGCTATTCCTTCCAAAAGTCACAATGCAAGTGGATTACTCCGAGTAATAGATATCCTTCAACATAAAAGATGACACTATCCATGGTTAAGGCCTCTTATCAAGCTGTATTGAAATAACATTGCCCAAAAGTTGTGGCTTTTCTTTATAGTAGTGAAAGCAGATTATGCTGAGATTTGCTCATCTTTTCACCCTTCATATTTTTCACAAAATATCAATGCTATCAATAGGAATCTTTGGAGGAAGATGACGTAAAAGAGCACATAGGATTTGGAGTTTTATTCCATTTGAAAGAGTTAGTGAAATAGGATGATATTTAATAGTTCTTTAGGACATACCAGGGCAGGTTCTGATTCCTCTAAGTCCAGTGAAGTTAAGTATGTAGATTTCAATGAGAAAAGCTGTGACACATCTTTAAAATCTACAACACCACTGCTGGAATGTACCTATATATATATATATTGGATTACATCTCCAAGCTAAGATGAAGGGAAGGCAATAAAATGGTCAATTCCTAGCAAATTATCTGATCTCATTCACAGCCATAGAAAAACCAGGTACATTAATTACAATGGCACTAGTGTCTCGAGCCTCAGATAGGCATTTCCCATTAAATAATAAATTATCCCTGGCTATCCTTGACACAGTCAAATGCATTTTATCCTTTTGTAGACCTTTCCAGTTAGTGGGATTAAGATAAATGCAATAACTCTGTGATTAGGTCTGTCCTTGTATTTGTCGTATTCTGTTTATTACATAACACAACTCTTCATTTACCTGATTTCTGTTCTCTGCAGTTTATATTGGTCCATCTTGCCTCAAATTCTGCTCAGGGCGAGGACAGTGTACTAGAAATGGCTGCAAGTAAGTGTTATAATTCAGTAGTTGTATTCAATTTCTGTAACATAGTTCACTTGGTGGGGTGAAAGTGGAAGTAATTTTCATTACAGTCCTTGCTTTTTTAAATGACTAAATATAAAACTAGCATAGCCCCCAGGATTCATAAAGCTCACTGGACAGCTAAAGATCAATCTTGCTAAATAGCAGCATGTTTAATATTTCTTTTAATGATTTTCTTTTGGGAAA